AATCATATTCATTCTGTCTCTCTCTCTCTATTATTGTTAGTGTAGCCACAATTTTCGAACCCCAAGAAACGTCTTATGAGTGTCTATTGCATAAAATGAATACAAGTATAAAACACATTTAGAAAGAAGGAAGATTACCCTTTTATTGCAGACTCCATCGGCGAGATATTTTGCTTCTTCGCCTTAAATTTCATTCCGGCGCAGATTCAATGTGATAAGTGTTCATATGTAAAAATGAAACATACGATGAGACTGAGAAAAAAGAAACGCATCAGTAAGTTTTCTCGTCATGCATTGTAGCTCATTATAGAGAAAAGAAGAGAGAGAGAGAGACAGAATGAATATGATTCATCATATTATTTCGTAATGCATGGACCATATATTTTATGCCTACCCATTCCATTTCATTTAGATAGTAATCTAAACGATGCGACACAAGCTGCACATTAATTTCGTTTCCAGTGTACTTTGATAACAGCTCACAATAGATAGTTGGTCATTTTCTTGCTCGAAAGTGCAGCGTTTTTGCTACAAAACTATTTGAAAATATTTCTTTTTTAAAACGATGACAGAAGATTGAAAATTTTTCCAGCATGCTTCACTAGTAAAGTACCTGGCAACTTCACACAAAATCAACGATAAGGAGTACAAGTTATTTGAACACTGGACTTGCTAAGTTTTGAGACACATTATACGGGAATGTGAACAATGCAATACGAATTCTTGAAGCATAGAAAAATATTCTATTTACTTCGCAAATCACAAGCATCATGCGAAATAGTTTTATTAAAAACATGGTTGTTCATCTACATACAATGTCCGATGAATTTGTACTTATTATATTGAACAGAGAATTTTACATTCTCTAAATATATTAGAAGATTCAATAAGCTTTGATATTGCTATCAAAAATAGACGTTTTTTGTTGCTATAATTGATGTTTGCAGAAACCTTATTTTTGGTAATCATTCATTAGCTGCAAAATGAAATTGGCATCAGCGAAGAATATGAGAAAAATATCACTTCAAAATTTTAGTTTTGTCTGTTTCTTCTAAACTTCGAAAAGTGTGCAGAGAACGTTAATGTTTTTAACTGAATACTTTTACATAATAATGTTCTATAAACTCTGCTTTTTCGAACAAGACAACAATCAAGTCTCTATGGTGAGATTGTTATCATGCCATACTGTAAACCGAATGAATGGAAAATTCTTATGTTACTTTTTAAATTGAGTATCTGTATGAAAAAATTCGAAATTTACATCGTCAGCTTGTACACTGCTATAGTAACAGTTGTTATCATCATTTCGAAATGAAGAATATTCTGAACTTCTAAAGAATTCACGTAGTTTTTCATAATCCCTTATTTTCATTTAATGTGTTCTCATTGTTCAGCGATTCTGCAATCGACAAAGAGAAAACTGATAAAAGATGATCTATTAGAAATTTTTCTCCCTTAAACAGCAAGAAAAAGAAAGACATTGTTCTTTTTCCATAAACTACTCGATGATTAATTAGGTTATTTTGTAATTTCAATTTTTAATTAATATAACACAAAAAGGATCAAGTAATAGACAGTATCAACCGATTCAATTATAAAGAAAAATAAGCACATGACGAATTCTGATCGAATGTACTACTAGTATCAAGAGCTGAGCTATTCTCCGTACCAATGGATATCTGTTATCCATTATGAAATTATTATGATATTTGATTAGAATAGGATTTTTAGGCCTAGAATTTCACTTCCCTACATTTATAAGTAAAACTAATCGGTCTAAAGACTGAAAAAATGGTATATAAACAAATACATTACGTAATGAAATTTTTTTTCGAAAAAAGTAGATTTTAAGCGATTTCTCTAATCAGAACTATGAACATATCTTCGTTTGAGTAATATTGAACATTTCATCATCCACTTATCCACACAAGCGTTAATTACTATTCGTTGAAGATAATTCATATCTTACTGACTCTTTATAAAATTCATCAACACTGACTGGCGTTGTATAGAGTCTGATCTGTTTCTAAAATAATAAATAATCGAAAGTAACAAACGATTGTTTGTCATCAAGCCAAAATGGTGTTCGAAATAGGACAATTAGTACATCAAGACTAGCAATGGTTTCATTATTTTCATCGATTCAAAAGGTAAAAAAAAAATTCAAAGTTCTTCAATTAAAATAATTTGCTTTGAATCATTCATTTTCAATAATAACCATCAAATAGTGAATCAACTGCAGTTTCGGATGAAACAACTTTCATGCAAACCAATGAAGGAGTCAACAAAGTCAATTCCGGGTAAACTACAAAACAAAAATGTAAAATAATATCAATCGAAGCATTCTTTGAAATGCAAAATAATCAATTGAAAATGTTTAGTTTTTGTGCAAACAACTCTATAATGGTGAATTGAATGTATCGTTCATTACATTTGTGTGCATTGCTGAAGAATTTTGTTTGTAAATTAATAGAATGACACTTTGATATTCTTTCATACAGTTGGTAATAATCTCTGTCAACTAACAGCATTGCTGTTTCTCCGCCACCGTTGCATCCCTATGAATGGTATGAGAAGAAGACAAATCGTACTTTTCTTTTTTAAATCAAAATCATGACAAACGAGAGAAAAACCAACTACTATCATGGAGATATAGGAATCTGTTATTCCTAGAAAATTATATTTCATGAATTTTTTATTGAACGATGATAGTTAATTATACTCAATGAAATAAAGAATAGTTCGGAGTAATCTGAAACTGATTATTGAAAAAAAATTTTTCATGATGTAAGTATTTTATGAAACATTCTATTGTTTTCTAGCCATTAATTTGACATGTCATCCTCGATAACACAACTGTTAAGCTTACTTCAATAGTAGCATGGAAACTGTTAACAATAAATAAGACACTTATTATTTTAATTGTCAACATTTTAGACTATTCAAATATTTTCATATATATGGACAGGTCAGCGAAGAAATTAAGATTTTTGACGTGTTTTTGGAACTACAATCATGACATAGTGTTACAGAGATGGACATTGATATCTGGCTACACCACTAGACTATAATACATAAAGTGCAAGAAAAAACATCTAAAATTATCTGTTAATCCTAAAAACATCATGAATGAAAACAATGCTAAATACATTAGCAAAAATCTTAGTAATCCGAGAGAATAACAGTCGTGTTGCACTTGTGTGTAGTTGAATGTCAAAAAACAATCAGTTTGATATCCTTCTTCGATGAACATTTTTCGAATACATTCAAATAAGTTTATTTAACTGAAGCATTGTTTGATGTATGATCATGTGATGAGAGAACTGATTGATTGACAATATATTTAATGGTAATAGAGAGTATAAGAAATTATCGTAAATGAGACAGACGATTGAAAATTGTGAAAAAGACAACAGTATAGCATAATGCTTGATTGTTAGGTGTACTAGTGGATATTCCATCAACGACGAAGTGTGATTAAATATGAAATCGAAATCAATCAACTAGAGTTTTATGAAGATCAGATTGAACGATTGTTGAAAAAATTGATGAAAGTATTTCGTTATTTTGATATGTTTTAAACCGTCTTGAGATGGAAAGTGATATTATAAAAAGCAGTTGACAATGTGCTATAAAAATGTATTCAATTCTATGTTATTAGTTTCATGAAGGAACAACAAGTGAAGCTTAGTAAATGGATGCAGCTTAAAATGCAAGAGAAATAACTCGATTTGATTAACTTTATTATTATCGCTGCTAAGTCGAACTTGAGTCGATTGTACATATGTTCGTCAGTGTATAGAATCGTTTAGAAATGTAGCATCGCGAACGGAAAATAGTTTTCACATTAAGATAATAAAAGATACAATTGAGATTTTTCACGAGCAAATCGATCAGAGACACGGTCGCCACATATTTGTATTGATCAAATGAATGAATTCTGAAATAAGTCTTCAATCTTCCACTGATTGTGCGAGTCCGTTTAACAGTCAGTGTGATTATGGATTTTCTCCCTCTAACTGCCTTTCTACACACACAATGTTGAAAGTTAAGCAAATAGAAACCTATTATTTTTCTCTACTATTACGATGAATTCAAAAAAAAACTCCAGTATAATTTTTCCTGTGCTAAAAATATGTCATGCGAAAGTCTTTGCAAAAAAATGTCAAACTCTGCTAGACCGTATAAGTAACTTTTAAACCAATCGAGTTTTTTTCAGGACGAACTCGAGAAGAACGATAAGTTAGAGTGTGAATGTGGATAAAAAATGTGTAAGTGTGTTGGTTAGGACGTTGGTGTAGTGGAATGCAATACGTATTTCTACAGCCATAGTCAGAAACCTTGATATCCCACATCAAGAATGATCCACACGAACGATCGATAAACACAATCCAATGATGCACCCACACAACTGCAATTCAAAATTATGCCTGATTCGTGGTCCTGTTGGAACTTGAAATGTACCGGAATAAATAAAATATCAATTGCTTGAGAGTGCTTGCATACTCAAGAACCATTTATTAATGATCTTGCCACTTTAATGTAGTTTTTCTGGTAGAAAAAAAAAACACTTAAGATTATTTCCAAGGACGGTTCGATTAATTTTATTGGCATTTACGAGTCTATTCTTGCATATAAATATGTAAATGTGGAAACATTTTACCATTAATGAGAAATAAAAGTGAATACCAAGAATACAAATCGACGAAAAGTTATGATAATAGGATGAAAAAAAATAGCGTATCGAAAACATTAAGTATAAAATGTCGGTTTTTTGTTTTTATTTTATTTTACGAGGTTCTATTCGAATAATTAAGACTTAGAATCTTTTTGCTATGTTTTCATCACTTTTAATCATCGTTCTCGGTTGTGTCGTTTTTTAATACGTTGACTGCACAAATGGTACTGCTACACGTGATACTATTATAATATCGAGGAGTGATTCTTTCCTTGTTTCAAAGGATAATCGTGCTGAATATTTCTATACTAAAAATATGCCAATGCTTCGGTTTGGTTTGGATACGCCATCAGTTATATTTGTCAAAATTCCTGGCTTGACAGTTTCGGTTGCACATCAAACGCCAATGCTCTATAAAATATGGTTTTCAGGAGGATGTTACGTGACTAATGCAAATGTGCACTATTTTATACGTTTTATGGTCGATGACTTGCTTTTAGTGGACAATAAATTATTACCGAATACAGAAAATCGTCAAACTCTTCTGCCTGCTATTGGAAATAGTTTGGTTTTGATAGATTCTATTGGTGCTTCGTTCCTGCGTTCTTCAGATTCAACTGGTTCATCTTTTACATGTGCAAAGTACGAAATAGTCTATTTACCGCCCGGAGTACATGTGATCAATGCCGTTGTGCGCACTACTTCTCCGTCGTTGTATTTACATGCGGGAACATTAATAGTTGAATTAATACAATATGAAAAGAATGCAAAAATCAATCTTCAATATCCGTTAGAATTATAATCTTTCCATGGCATGTGAAGTCAATTATGCTAAAACATAGATTTTGTTTCCCCGAACCCTCTCGTTTGAAACAAAAATTTCATTAAAATAAAACTTGTCTTATTCTATTCGATGCCGAATTCAGCTCGAGAACAGCGGGTGGATGTGGGTGTGACTTGCCTCTTAAATCACACTCACACTCCACCATCAAGATGAGTGCGAAACTTATTAATGATATCTAATTATTGCTATTCAGTTCTTCATCATCTCTACTGATCTAACCAGAAAAACTAAAAAGAGATACCTCTATTTTCCTGTAAACAATAAATAGAAAGACGAA